TGGAGTTCCTATTAAAAAGGGTAATATATAAGAAGTGAAAATTCAGGCTCAAAACGAAGATATTTTTCGTAAAATTACCAAAGAGTTTGATAAGTGTAGGAAATCGTATTACACCTATCAACTGAAAAGTAGTCGAGTAGTTGTCATAAAAGGCTTGGAGTCCAGCGTGAACTCACAAGAGATAGAAAATGCTCTTACGGAAGAAGGTTTAAGGTGCGCAATGTTTTCAACATCAAAAATAAAGAAAACATCCCTCAACCGATGTTCAAAATAGAGCTAGAACCTTACTTTCATAACCTTAAGAAAGGGGAGGTGCATCAAATATACCAATTGCGATATCTTTTACACCGTAAAATCTCCGTAGAAGAACCCCACAAGCATAGAGGCCTTGTTCAATGTCATAACTGCCAGGAATTTGGTCACACACGTCGCTACTGCGCCTTACCTGGTGTCTATGTTATCTATGGGGATTTACACACTTCCTATGAAACCAAAAATGGACCCGAAATCCAAAAAGTGCAGTAATTGCGTTGGAAATCACAATGCTGATTATGGAGGCTGTCCAGTTTATATATCAATGAAAGAGAAAACAATTCCCAGAAATATTCCTACTAGGCGTAACCCCATACCAGAAATCGCTAAGCCAATGCCTGCGCCAATGACTCTTAATAATTTTAGTTCTTATGCACAAATGCTGAAAAATACTCCTCCGACACAACCTCTTTTTGGTCAGAATAGTAGTAACTTAGAAGCTACTATAAATAACTTTATGAAAGTTATGCAAGAGCAAATGATGGCAATGCAGAGAATGGTACATGATTTGATTAAAAATCAAAATCTATTACTTCAAGCCATTTTAGCTAAACCATGAATAATCTCAAAATTTGTTTTTGGAATGCGAGCGGGCTAACCGAGCATAAAAATGAACTAGAAATTTTCCTAGAGCACTTTCATATAGACGTCTTGCTTGTATCTGAAACCCACCGTACGTAATTTAATAATTTTCAAATTAATGGGTACAAATTCTATGATACTAAGCATCTACAAGGGAAGGCCCGAGGTGGAACAGCCATTCTCATTTGTAACAGAATAAAGCAATATAAATTAGAACCGCAAAGTGATCAGTTCATTCATAATACTGCAATACACATATCGAGCCTTAACCGCCAAAATAACGTAAGAGAAATTTTTTTCAAAATTTTATTTTTGATGCAGAAATATTCCTAGAGCATCTAGATGCATTTCTGCATCAAAAATAAAATTTCGAAAAAAAGTCGCTTACGTTATTTTGGAACGGACGGAAACGGAAAAACAATTTGATGACTTTTTCCTAAAGTTTGGCAGTAAGTTTATTGCAGCAGGAGACTACAATGCCAAACATACATTCTGGGGGTCTAGATTGATACACCAAAGGGTAGAAACCTATATGAAGTAATCCAGAACAGAGGATTTGACGTATTGTCTACTGGTCAGCCAACGTATTGGCCTTCTGACCCCCAAAAAATACCCGATCTTATTGACTTTGGTGTAACAAAGGGCATTGCGCGACACCAAGTAAATAAAGAAGCATTATTTGATCTCTTTTCAGATCATTCTCCCTGCTTCATAACATTAGCAATGTTTCTTAACTATGAAGAAAAAAAAAACAAAACAAACTTACAAATAAGCACACAAACTGGTTAAAATACAAAAAATATGTCAGTTGGCACATTGACCCGCAAATTCTTTTTCGGACCATGAATGATATCGACAGGACAGCTGAAAATCTCACTGATATAATAGTTAAGGCCGCAGAAATTGCAACACCAAGTCCTTCTATTAAACATCGCAGTTCTTACTGCCCTGGCCTGCACACCCCAAACATTCTTAACTTAATAAGTAAATTAAGAAGAGAATGGCAAAGAATTCGCTCTCCCAAGCTTAAACAGGATCTGAATGCGTGTACAAAGGAATTACGTATTTTGTTGCAGGCGGAAAAAGAAAGAAGTTTGCAGCCGATCCTCCAGTCCTTGTCTGCCTCGAAACAGACTGACTACTCCCTTTGACGAACACTGAAGCATGCGAAGAGGCCCTTTCTTCGAGAAGCATCATTACGTACTCAGAACGAAGGCTGGACGAGGAATGATGAGGATAAAGCAAACACACAAGCAAAGCACAAGTATTTAGACCCAATTAAAGCGCTCATCCTTCTAATATTTCAATACCCCCCAGTAGTCTTACCACAAATCCGCTTCGGTTTAAAAATAAAGTTTTAATTAAAACCATTGTTCATGACATTCGGAAGAACAAAGCGCGTCGTTACGATTACAGGTGAAATGATAAAAGAGCTTCCACTAACTGCCGTACGTTTTTTTATGGTGCCAAAGCCAGTCAAAGATCCGACGGTAGTAAATTCATATCGGTACATTAGCTTGATTTCTGTATTTTCCAAAATATTTGAAAAACTTCTGTTAAAAAAATACAACCTTCTCTAACAAGTAACCAAATAATACCACCACATCAGTTTGGTTTTCGTGAAAAACATGGCACTGTAGAACAAGTTCGTAGAATTGTTTCTTGTATTAGAAATGCCTTCGAAGCAAGCAGTATTGCACAAGCAGTATTGCACCGGTGTATTTTTGGCATGATGGCCTTATATACAAACTAAAGGGCAAATACGCATGCAATTCTGGAAAGCTTTCTGCTGGGGAGGAACTTCAGAGTCAGGCAGAATTCCTTTAGAACGGGAAGTCACCCTATATATGCAGGTGTCCCTCAAGGCAGTGTTCTAGGACCCAGATTGTACGTATTACTCGTCATTTTCCAACTGATGAAACTCTAACCATTTCAATGTTTGCTGATGACACAGCTATCCTAAGCAATAGTCCAGACCCTAAAGAGGCTTCCTACATACTGCAAGAATATTTGAAAAAGTTAGAGCTATGGCTAGGTTCTTGGAGGATAGCGAGAGCAAGTGTGTTCAGACAACATTTACTCTGAAGAAAGAAACTTGTCCACCACTAAAAATAAACAGCAAGGCTATACCACAAAAATATAGTGACAAGTACCTTGGGATGACACTAGATAGAAGACTAACCTGGAAAAGGCATATAGAAAACAAAATTTCTCAAGCGAAACTAAAACAAGTAAGCCTTCGGTGGGTTATAAGACACAAATCTAAATTAAAACAAGATTTTGATTTTTAATATGATGATTAAACCATGTTGGGCATACGGAAATGGGCTTTGGGGCACAACGTGCAATTCCATTTTGAACAGATTTCAAAGTCTGTAGTCGAAAATTTTACGCGCCATATGCGGAGCACTGTGGTACACAAAGAATACCAATATCCACAAAGATCTCAATGTAAATATGGTGCATGAGGACATAAGAGAAGGACTGTTCTATCTCTTTCTTTTGTGTTTGGGGTGATTAATGGAGAAATTTACTGCCCTTCACTGTTGCTTTCCGTTCAGTTTCTTGTATCGCTCTTTTTATCCATTTTATATCAAAAACTTACGAATTATACCAGGTATGCTCCAATTGCACGTTCACTTCGCGAACTTAACGAGATTGCGAATTCTATTACGCTTGGTTTTTCTTTGCCTAAGAATGTGTTTTCTAATTTACTAAACTCAATATTCTTCTAGAATTTTCTGTATAAATGTTCAAGTCTAGGTTAGCGTTTTAGTCAGTAAGAACCATTGTTAGTTTTTTGACTTTTTGGAAATAAAAAAATAAAAAAATAAAAAAAAAAATAAAGAGGGCTAAGCACCAGTTACTCAGTACGGTTAAGGAACCACCCAAATCGGCTAGCGAGAGATCCTCTTAGCCCGAGATATGCAAGAACACTAAAAAGAAAGGATTTATCCGATATTACCAAATGATGAGCAGTATAATATATGTGGATATCCGCAATATATCAATGTCGGCTCTGGAACTTGTCCTTTCACACAGACCACCAAACACCAGGTCAGTGCGGCTCGGAAACTTGTCCTTTCCGACCGAACATAGCCTACTGGATTGTAATTACTTAAATATAGAGAAGCTAAGGCGCGGCGTGGAAACTAGTCCTTTCCACCCGCCCTGGACGTGCGGCTCTGGAATTCGTCCTTTCAGACCGCCTGCCCAGCACGATATCTAGCGATCCTGATGCTCGGGATCTTGTCCATTCCGTTGTAAGATTTGAAAACTTATGGTTAGTTTCGAAAGAAAGATTCAATAAATAAATACATATTATAACAAAAAAAATTAGACTGCATTACCAAAAAAGTTGCGGTTTTTCCGCCGGGATTACAAAATTTATTATATGTGAAAATTTATTTTGTGATAGGCTTGTCTGATCTATTTATTTAGTGTAATGGCCCAATGTTTCACTAATCTTCTTAGCATCTTCAGGGGTGTGTTTATTTAATTATCTGTTAGAAAAAATAAAAATACATGTATGATATTAAATAAAGGAACAAATATTCATATATGTGTGTATACATAAATACATATAAAAATCACGATAGAACAACTAAGATATTAAACACAAAAGTACTCACAAAAAATTCATCATTAAATTAACTACAACTACTTCTATGGTATTTTGTCTGAACTAAAAACTAAATTTGCATTTTATGAGCATAACATGTAGGCGGCAGAAATGTCAGCGGTGTCTTCTTTTTTGTTTATTGCGTTTCCCTTTTTTGCAAAATCCTTAAGCTTTCTAATGGGTATCTGCTTTTTTTTCTCTTTATTCGATGTCGATTATTTTGGTGTTTGCTAAATCTGCTGAGTGCCCAGTAATTCGCATGTGTTGTGACAGCGCTGTACTATTTTTTTGTTTCTTTATATCTGCTTCATGTTCGTTTAAGCGCGTGCCTAGGGCTCGTTTAGTTGTACCTTTCCGCATTCTTCGTTCTCCTTTCCCTTACATTTAATTTCATAAACTACGTTACTTTGTTTTTGAGCACTTATTGGGCACTTTGTTTTTGTAAAAACAGTCGATAATGTGCAATTAGGTTTATATGCAAGTGTTATGTTTTGTTGTTTTGCGAAGTCGCGGCCGAAGTTTTCGGTCAGCTTCGGAATGTATGTGACACTGTGGTATCGCTTTGTTGTGTTTATTGCATCTGCGCTTGAAGTTATATTTTGGTGATTGCTCGTTTGCATTATCGTTTCTTTTATTAAGTTGTGTGTTAAATTTTCAGGGTAGTTGTTGCTTTTTAGTATCTTCTTTATTTTTTCAATGTTTGCCTCATGATATTTGTTTGTGGCTTATTGTTAAAATTTTGTGTATGAGATTTTTCGCGGTAGTTATCTTGATTTTGTTGGTTGCGAAGAAAGAAGTTAATCAGGCGACCAGAGGATGTAGGCTTACAATACCAGTCCAGAAGAAGGCGATTTCCGCTTTTATGTGTACGCGCGTCTAGAAAAGGGATACTTGTATTTCTTCTAATTAAAGTTTGGTATGGTATTTGTTCAGATGTTGGAGGATAATGTTAGCGTCGTTTCTTTGGACTATTGCGAAGCGGTCATCTACATATTTAGTTATAAATTTAAAATTGATATTAAGCTTTTTAAGCTCTGAGATGATGTTTCCGAGTAAATCGTCCAACACAATATCAGCAATTATTGCCCAAAGGGGGTTGCCCATTGGCATTCCAAAGGTTTGCGTGTATAGCTTATTATTGCACATGAAATAATTGTTGTCTTTGAGACAAAGGTCCAGAATATTTTGAAATTTGTTTTTT